TGTATATATAAAGTATAAAATAAAGTATAAATTTAAAGTATAAATAAAGTATAAACTTTATTCAGCTAAATTTGGGCTTGAGTCATTTAGATCATCAGTATTTTGAGGTAAACAAGTCATTTCTGTAAGACTGATGATCTAAATGACTCAAGCCCAAATTTAGCTGAATAAAATGTTCTACTAAGGAGATGAGGTCCTGAGATTTGGGTCTTGAGAGCTATCTCTTCTCTAAGGGTTGGGTCTTGAGAGCTATCTCTTCTCTAAGGATTGGGTCTTGAGAGCTATCTCTTCTCTAAGGACCTCATCTCATCCTCCCTGAATTGAGAAATGGTTTAGAGGATAAACTACTGAATGGGCAATCTTTTTATGGAGAAATAATGTGAGTAGTATTAGAGATAGAAGAGAAGGTCATTAAAGAGAAAACAGTAAGAGAAGAGCAAATTTAAAAAGATGGAAGACCATCGTGCCTTTTATGTGCATAGCTTGGTATTTGAACTATAAATTCAAGGCACGAGAAAGTTAGGCTCTGGAGAAAGGATTCTAACACAGTAAGGTGAATTCAATACCCTGACCTTTGTCTTTGTCCCAAGATATCAGATTTTGTCTTTTCCTAACTCAGTTCAGTCTCCCATCCATGCACAGAGAAGGGCACAAGAGAATGTACTTTCAATAGTGCCTGGGATTTCATATTTTACTTTATACACAGAATATTAAACTTACCTTGAAAGATGTCACCTTGTAGAAGTTCCCACTGGCTGAATCTGGGACAATTTGAGCATCCAAATAAATATGATAGTAATGGCTTATGACTCATTGAATAAAATCCATGAGTCCATTCAGATAATGAACAATCGGCTGGGCACAGTAGCTCACGCCTGTAATCCCAGCACCTTGGGGCTGAAGCAGGAGGATCACTTAAGGCCGGGAGTTCAAGACCAGCCTGGGCAGCATAGTGAGATCCCCATCTGTACTTTTTAAAAATAAAAATAATAAAATTTTTTAAGGAGATAATAAACAACAAGGTCAAGCCCACCATTACAGCTGATTAAAATCTAATAAATATAAAAGGAATGATATCATCAGAAAATCAGCATAACTGTCATAGCTACAATTAATTGAGGCAAGAGTCATGAAGGGATGCCCAAATTTTGGGACAGTAATAACCTCCTTACTTGGAAAATGAAATGGTGACTTCACAGTGGAGAAACCAAATGGACACTAAGTTACCCAAGTGGTAAAAGTTAACAACTCTAATAATAAAACAAATGACATAATCACTTATGTAGTATTTATGCCAAAAAAATTTATTACCTGAATCTAATCATGAAGGAACTGATGATCAGCCCAAATTGAGGGATGCTGTACAAATCAACTGGCCTGTACTCTTTTAAAATGCTAATAACATTTAAAGAAGAAGAAGAAAAATTACTCCAGGTAAAAAGAGACTAAAGAGGCATGGCGACTAAATGCAATATGTGATCCCAGATGGGATACGGATTAGGGTCAAATAAAATACATTATAGGAAAAAACCATTTGATTGACATTTGATTATGGACTGGCCTTTAGATAACAGTATTCTATCAATGTTGTATTCCCTGAGTGTGATCATTGTACTATGGTTATGTAAGAAAATATCCTTGTTTTCAGGAACTATACACTGATGTATTTAGGGTAAAAAGAGCATGATATTTGCAACTTTATTCAAATGGTTCAGAAAAAAAGAAGTACGTGTGTGTGTGTTCATATGTATATACATACATATACATATATACACATACATATACATATATATGTATGTGTATATATATATAGAGAGAGAGAGAAGAGAGGAAAACACAGGTGTTTTTCCTACTATTCTTGAAACTCTTCAATGGGTTAGCAACTGTTTGTTTTTTTTAAACTTAACCTTTAGGTGGGTTGGTGGGTTACATTGCTGCCTTTTAATTCTTGAGATGTGTCCCTGGATGGAAGACCTAAATATCTTTCTCTTTTTTTTTTTTTTGAGACAGACTTTTGCTCTGTTGCCCAGGCTGGAGTGCAGTGGTGCCATCTCGGCTCACTGCAATCTCCACCTTCTGGGTTCGAGTGATCCTCTCGCCTCAGCCTCTGGAGTAGGGACTACAGGCACACACCACCACACCTGGCTCATTTTTCTATTTTCAGTAGAGACAGGGTTTCACCAGGTTGGCCAGGCTGGTCTTGGTCCCAAAGTCCTGGGATTAGAGGCGTGAGCCATCACACCCAGCCCTATTTTTCATTTCTAAAGTGCTGTTGTACTTTGCTTCCTAACCAGATTGGTCCAGAGAAGGGTGTGGTGCACCTGGCGACAGCAGCTGTCCTAAATGCGGTGTGGGACTTGTGGGCCAAGCAGGAGGGAAAGGTAACTCCTCTCACAAACGCTTAGGAGGCCCCTGGGAACTGCACCACACTGACTTTCCCTACGCACAGAGGAGAGACAGACACACTGCAGCCCCCAAAAGGAAATACAGAGAATTGCTTTGGTGTTTTTTTCTCCCCTGAGAGGTTTTGGCAGTAGGTAGGGAACTGCAGGAGGAGGAGAAAGAGGGGATGGGATGGCGGAAGGCGCAGGCAGCAGTAGAGGTGGGTGTAGGGACCCGGTGGCTGAGAGCCAGCATTTACTGCCAATGCATTTACTGTCAGGAAAAAAATGGGGACTTTACACATATGTCTTACAAATCCTTTCTTTTTTACTTCAAGCCTGTCTGGAAGTTACTTGTGGACATGGTGAGTAGGATCGTTAATGTTACAATTGTTTCTGTAAATGAAATGGACTTCATGAATGACATGCCTTTTGATGATCAGTAAATATATTCAGGACTATCTGTTGATCACTATGGTGATGATAAAGCAAAAAGCCAATAAAACATGACATTCCTTTTCTGATATCTGATGTAATGGATAGCTGTGCTCATGCAGGCAGTGTGGCACGAGGCGAAGCAGTGAGGGGGTCTTGCCTCCCCCACCGTGCATCTGTAACATGCGATGCCAGTTCTCTGAGCCTCCGTTGCCTGACTATGACAAGAGGATCATCCTAACTTCTCTAGGAACCTCACAAAATTAAAGATCAATGAGAAAAGCAACTCTTAAACTCTGAAAAGCAAGATGTGATGATATTATGAAGATATTATCCAGGCCAGGCGTGGTGGCTCAAGCCTGTAATCCCAGCACTTTGGAAGGCTGAAGGATGGCTTGAGCCCATGAGTTTCAGGCTGCAGTGAGCTATAATTGCACCACAGCACTCAGGTGACAGAGCAAGACCCTGTCTCAAAAAAAGAAAAAAGAAAAAATACTATCCAGTCACTTTGACACCAAGAGTAAGATGAGGCCATTGTAGCCTCTACTGTACAGTTCCAGCAGGGAAGGAGCTCAACACTGAGTTCTAAAGCTATGCACTTGACTGTTTTCTTTCTCCTTGACCTTTTCATAGCAGGGGTGAGCAACTGGATGCTGAGGCGGAAAAAACTGGGCAAATTAAAGGGGAATGAGCTTCAGACCTGTGCAGAGCTGGCTGTGAGTCCGGGTTTCACTGCTCACCAGCTGCATGACCTTGAGCATGTGACTTCCCCACTCTGAGCTGCGGTGGCCTCAGTGCAACACCTGGGTGGTGGTTAAAAACCTCGTGATCCACAAATGAAGGCCCTTGTTATTAGTTGGCAAAAAATTAAGGAAAAACAAAGAACACCATGGCCTTGAAGAGTGTTGGGCAGGAGACTACTCCTCCTCTGGTGGAAAGTGGAGACAGGAAGCTGTCACATCGCCTCTGACATGGAGAGTAGCTTCGGGGCCATCCGTAGGGGAAGGACACAGAGCTCTTGAGCCCCCTTCTAGACTCAAGGCCGGCCTTTTACAGTGCTGGAGGAGGTAGCCACCAAAAGGGAATGATTTGCAGGCCACCAGAAATGTGTCTGAGGTCCCACCTGTGGACTCTCCATTTTTGGATCCTGTTCCCTTTCAATGCCAGTACTCTTTTCTTTTCTTTGTTGTTGTTGTTGTTTGTTTGTTTGTTCAATTGTTTTGAGACGGAGTTTCCTTTTCGTCACCCAGGCTGGAGTGGAGTGGCGTGATCTCAGCTCACTGCAACCTCCACCTCCTGGGTTCAAGCGATTCTCCTGCCTCAGCCTCCTGAGTAGCTGGGATTACAGGCTTGTACTGCCACCATGCCCAGCTAATTGTATTTTTAGTAAAGATGGGGTTTCACCATATTGGTCAGGCTGGGCTCAAACTCCTGACCTCAGGTGATCCACCCGTCTCAGCCTCCCAAAGTGCTGGGATTACAGATGTGAGCCACCACACCTGGCCCAGAACTCTTGGAAGTAGAATCTCAGGTTTGAAAGAGCTTTTAGGATTTTCGACAGTTATGGGAGAGTGTTACTGGTCACTATAAGATGTTGGTGGGAATGGAACTACTGGCTGTTTTCCAGCTGACTGTTCCGTCAGGGTGGGGAGAGGTCTCAGCACGAATCCCCAGCCTTGTAGCTCACCGTGGACAGCCCTGTGGTGTGAAGCTGACGTACAGTGATGCCAGGCATTCATCTCCCCGCTGAGCTCCTGCTGAGTGTTTGCCTGGGGCCATGCCCTCCTTCCAGGAAGCCACGTTAGCTGGAAAGAACAGGGTAGGGGCGGGTGGCAAGGGACCAGAGCGTCAGTGTCTGAGGGCTTTGTCGGGGCAGTGAGGAGCCACTAAAGGACTCTACACTTAGGAATGACAGAGTTGAACAATTTAACAAAGCCCTAAAGGTCCCTACCAGGAAAGAATGAGCCCCATGTGTCACCATAAGCAACTTCTTAGAAACATAACCCGCCCCTGTCATTCCAGCACTTTGGGAGGCCAAGGAGGGAGGATTGAAGCCAGGAGCTCAAGATCAACCTGGTCAACATAGTGAGACCCCATCTCTACAAAAATAAAAAAGCTAGGCATAGTGGCACACACCTGGAGTGCCAGCTCCTCAGTCCCAGGAGGCTGAGGCAGGAGGATCACATAAGCCCAGGAGACTGAGGCTGCAGTGAGCTATGATGGCATCACTGCACTCCAGCCTGGGCAACAGAGTGAGACCTTGTCTCTAAAAGAAGAATAATAAATAATTTTTTAAAACAAAATATAACCCACCTTAGAATTGATTCAGGCCTCTTCCCCTCCTATCACGTTGCCAGGATCCCAGGATGCTGGTGTCCTGCATAGATTTCAGGTACATCACCGATGTCCTGACTGAGGAGGATGCCCTAGGTGAGTTTGGAAGCTTTCTCGAGTACACAATGTGCACGTACAGTAGTGGCATGCTTTGTTGCCTAAAATAGTGAGTGATGCTTTTTATTTCTTCCAGAAATACTGCAGAAAGGTCAAGTTGGTAAAAAAGAAAGAGGTGGGTTGTAAGAAATTTTTCTTCATTGTTTTTGCTAACATTGTCCACTTTTGAGTGCCCCTGTCCTTTTGGGGGACACACTGTCCTCCCAAATGCCCCATGCTGAGTAACTAGGCCCTCAAATCAACATTCAGGTCTGCATGGTGAAGCCTCCTGAGTATGCCCTCTGACTGCAGAGTTTGCTTGAGCCACTGCTGAAAGGAAGTTTGGCTTTAGGATTACACTGTAGGGAGGGCCCTTGGGGAGCAGGGCAGTCTGTGAGGGTATCGTGACCACCTGGGTTTCACATCCTAGTAATTCGTGGCTGGGTGTGTGTAAAAGGCCAGGTCAGGAGAACAGCTGGACTCTCCAGGGGAAACAGCTTAGCTACAGGCACTTCCAATTCTGAAGGGCAAAGTGTTGACGGTGCTGTGTTTTCACAGAGAAGCAAATGCTGGCACAAGGCTACCCTGCTTACACCACCTCGTGCGCCTGGCTGGGGTACTCAGATGACACGTTGAAGCAGGTGGGCATTTTAACCTGGCTTTGTAAACAGGCTGAATGGGGAGAAACCAACCTGTTTTTCCTTGTGTGCTCACACCACTACTGTCAATACCTCACTTCTGACACCAGACCTGTATGGTTTTCCTTCTCACGCCAACCAGTTTTCCGCTTCTTTGTGGACACCAACTGGGTGTCCTGCTATTTTACTCAATTGTGACACCATCTCCCTGGAGCTAGCCTCAGACCCCGCAGGTTAAGGGCTCAGTCTTGGAGGACTGGCCCATGGCAGATGCCAACCACAAGTCCACGTTGTCATCTGTGCTTCTGACTGGCTTTACCTCCGATTAGAGGTTCCCACAAACCCCGCTTTGAGTTCAGTCATTTGGTGGAATGGCTCATGGAATTCAGGGAAACACTACTTATGTTTACTCATTTATTATAAAGGATACAACTTAAGAACAGCCAAACTGAAGAGACACGTAGGGCAAGGTGTGAGGAGTGGGTGCAGAGCTTCCATGTCCCCTCCAGGTGAGCCACGCCCCCACCACCTCCACGTGTTCACCAACCTGGAAGCTCTCTGAACCCTGTCCCTTGGGGGTTTTATGGAGGCTTCAGTATTTAAGTGTGATTCAGTATTTGGCCATTGGCCATCAATTCAACCTTTAGCCCCCTCCCCTCCCCAGAGATCTGGGAATAGGCTAAAGTTTCCAACCCACAATCATGCCTTTCAGGTCTTTCTTGTCCCCAGCCCCATCCTGAAGCCACATAGGGGACCTCAGCAGGGCTCATTCACATACAAAAGACACTTCTGTCACTCAGGAGATGCCAAGGGTTTTAGGGGCTGTGTGCTAGGAAATAGGGGAGCAGCAATGGGGGCAGAGACCAAATATATATTCCTTCTCATGTCACATGGGCTTTAGATTCCAGCCTCTCTGGGAGAAATTTAATATTTTCTTGTTCACCTTTCTGAATCATTTTGGCTGAGGGCGGTGGCCCATGCCTGTAATACCAGCATTTTGGGAGGCTAAGGTGGGTGGATCACCTGAGGTCAGAAGTTCGAAACCAGCCTGGCCAACATGGCGAAACCCTGTCTCTACTAAAAATACAAAAAATTAGCTGGGCGTGGTAACATGCATCTGTAATCCCAGCTACTCAGGAGGCTGAGGCAGGAGAATCACTTGAACCTGGGAGGCGGTGGTTACAATGAGCCGAGATCACACCACTGCACTCCAACCTGGGCGACAGAGCAAGACTCCATCTCAAAAAACAACAAAAAAAATTATTTTTTCTCGTTCTGAAAGTACACAAGCAAATGCAAAGTTTGGACCCTGGGACTCTGTGACTTAGTGAATCACCCTGGGCTCTGGAAGGTGACAGCCTAGGGTATGATTCCCAGGCAGCACCAGCGGCAGACCCACTGTAAGATGGAGAAATAATGCCTATTTCATGGGTGGTTTTGAGGATTCAGATACATGCTGTAAGTTGTGTCATGCTCAAGGCCTCCTGGCTGGCACACGGCATGCAGTTGGCACATGGTTGATTTATTACTGTTTCTCCTTACGCTGTGCCCACTTTTAAAGAGTGAGGAGGGAGGGGCTGGCTTCTGCACGTTACTCTTACATCGTTCTGTGGATGCCACAGAATATTCTAGCTTTAAAAAGAGAAAGATCAATGCTATATTCTCCTTCCAGGAAGGTTGTGACCATTAAAAACATGGTTCCCACAGAGATGAGGAGAGAAAGTCACCCTACAAGTAAAAAGTGATCTCTGTCAGCCAAGCTGTTTCTGCTGTTAATTTCAACAACACATGAGTGTTACTCTGGTCTGTGCTATAACCGTAATGCTTGTGAAATGGATCAGCAATGACTGATGTCCTGGTCAGACCAAGGGGCTCTCTCCAGTGTATGACCCTGTGCTCCTTTCCCACAGCTCTGTGCCCAGGCGCTGAAGGACGGCTGGACCAGGTGAGTGTGATGATGGACCTGACTTGCCCAGTTGGCGGCAGGAGAGACTCAGGCAGTGGAGGGGAGCCAAGGAGTAAAAGGCACGCACGGGCTAGGATCACTCTGGCTCATGGGGATGCATAAGAGAAGTTTCCCCTTAGGCCAGGCTCTTTCTCTAAAGGCAGGATGTGTGTCCTCATTAGAATTCTAGGACATCAGAGTGGAAAGAGGCTTGGGAGATTGTTGATTTCAGGCACTAACCCAGAATAGAAATCCAGTCTTTTCCATCAGTAAATGGCGTTGATTCAGCTTCTGCATGAACACCTCCAGAGGCAGCGAGCTTAACTTGGTTAGGCATTTTCCATTCTTTGAGGGCTCTAAGTATTAGGCGGGTCTTTTCTTCTCTTTTGAGACGAAGTTTCACTCTCTTCACCCAGGCTGGAGTGAGTGGCGCAGTCTCTGCTCACTGCAACCTCCACCTCCCAGGTTCAAGCTATTCTTCTGCCTCAGCCTCCTGAGTAGCTGGGATTACAGGCACCCGCCACCACACGTGGCTAAATTTTGTATTTGTAATAGAGACAGGCTTTTGCCATGTTGATGAGGCTGGTCCTGAACCCCTGACCTCAGGTGATCCGCCTGCCTCAGCCTCCCAAAGTGCTGGGATTACAGGCGTGAGCCACCGCACCCAGCCAGGTGGGTCTTTAATGTCAGGAACCCTTTGCTTCCATGTAATTTCCAGCCAGAGGTCCCAGTTCCCAAGAGCCAGGCTGTTCCTCTTCCACTTGAGTGACAACCCTCCTCTCCCTCTAGGCCACCTCCTTTCCACACTGCTCATCTGCACTTCTCCCTTCTGACTCTTGCCTGTGCAGGTAAAGACCTCTGGCCATCCTAAGACCTTCTGTGGATGAGCCTCGATGGTTGATGACCCTGCGTCCTGACACAGGGCAGGATGCAGAGGGACCATCATCTCTCTTGACCCAGTCACTGTGCGTCCCTCAGCGCAGCTCATGGTGGCACTTTTTGCCTGTGACATGTCACCAGGCTTCCTATCTGACTTGCAGCCACCCTGGTCCCTGAGCCTCCTGCTACTCAGTGTATTCTGTGGAGCAGGAGCTCCAGCATCACCTGGGAGCTTGTCAGAAATGCAGCCTGGGCCTCTCCCCAGACCCGCTGCATGGGAATCTGCACTGGAACAAGAGCCCCGAGTGATTCCTGTGCACACTTAAGTTGGAGAGGCACTGAATTCTTGTGAATGCCTCAGCTAAATAAAGGGTTGAGGAGTGAGAGCTTGAAGGAGGCAGCATGAAGCCATGGAAAGAGACGGTGGCATCTGATGGAACTGAAATCACATCTTGCCTTTTCCCCTCACCCCCTGCAAGTACTTGCTGTGTGGTCATGAGTAAATTGCTCAGCCTCTCTGAACTTCATTTTCTGTCTATCAGTAGAAATAATATGAGCTTGGGTCCTCCTCAAAGTTGCCATATCTCAGAAGGACCAGCACAGGGCAGGATTCAGAGCAGCTGCTGTAAGTGCTGGCTGCTTGCCCTCCCTCTACATACCCGGGGAGGCTGCAACAACGTATCTGGTAAAGCAGAGAAGGCTGTGGGGAGATTTAAAGGGCCTCTTCTCAGCACAGGAAGCCTGGCACCCAGAGCCTAAGGCCAGCCACCCTCTCTGGAGCATCACGGATCATGTAGTTGAAGCCCCTAGCTGGTACAGAAGAGAACAGCCGGTGCCTGAGAGTGTGCGGCAGGCACTCTGCAAGCTGAGGCTCTTTGCAGAGCAGCAGGAGGACCTCAGCCAGGGAGGTGCACAAGGAGGATAGGCTGGCATTCAAGGGGGCAGATGCTGGCCTCCTCATGGTGGTGTCCCCTCCTTCACCTGCCAGTGCCCACACTGAAGCCAGCAACACACCCTTCTGACAGCAGCGTCATGGGGTGTGGACGTAGAGACCCGTGTCTCGAGAGAATAGCTGGACATCCACACAGATTAAGGAGCTCCCTATAAGTGTCTGGATGTGGTGTAAAGGAGACCTCTGCATGCAGGATCCAGCTGCATTTTGCTATTCCCTAGTTACATGACCTCATCATTTTCCCTGCCGGAACCTCAGGCCCCTGCACTGCAGGGGACAGACTATCCCTATGGCCTTCCTCTCACTGAGTTAATTCAAGACAGAGTTCTCCTTTGTAAACCAGACCCTTCCCATTCAGGCTATCAGAGGGTAGCTCAGCACCCCTTGTCAGCCCCGCTCTCCTTTTCAGTTCTCACTGTGGCTTTTTTGTTCTTAATTCCTTTTCATGGCACAGCAAAAACTGAGTTAATTGTATTAAAGACCTGACTTCGGCTGGGCGCGGTGGCTCACGCCTGTAATCCCAGCACTTTGGGAGGTCGAGACGGGCAGATCATGAGGTCAGGAGATCGAGACCATCCTGGCTAACACGGGGAAACCCTGTCTCTACTAAAAATACAAAAATTAGCAGGGCTTGGTGGCGGGCACCTATAGTCCCAGCTACACGGGGGGCTGAGGCAGGAGAATGGCGTGAACCCGGGAGGCGGAGCTTGCAGTGAGTGGAGATCGTGCCACTGTACTCCAGCCTGGGCAACAGAGAGAGACTCCGTCTCAAAAAAAAAAAAAAAAAAAAAAAGACCTGACGTCTCTGACTAGCCTCTTAACTCCAGGTCAATAGATAATTGAGAGTCATTGCCCTGATACTGAATGAAGAGATAAAGTTCACAGATTTATTTCAAGTGACTTATCTGAAGATGAGGAAAGAGCAAGAGGTTACTAGAAAACATGATCTGTGAACTATTGACAGAAAGACGGTCACTTCTGCAGAAACTCCAGGTGCCCTTGCCAAGTCCAGGTACAGGTCTAAACTAGCAAACCAAATACATTTTCTAGGTTTAAACTAAAGGTGGGTGCTGATCTCCAGGATGACGTGCGAAGATGCCAAATCATCCGAGACATGATTGGACCAGAGAAGACTTTGGTAAATATCCTCTCACACCACTGAAAAGCAGCGGCCTTTGTCCAGGGCTAAATGCAACTCGTTTCAAGATTAAGAACATTGGGAATTTAAAAACGTAATTGTCAGAGGAAGTACAGTTCTATAGTCTTGCAGTAGGCAAACTCAAAAAAAAAAAAAAAAGCAAAGGGACTAATAGTTTTACATTTTTTAATTCTGCAGAACTAGTTAAGTAAGTTTGGGGTTAAGGATCCTTTCTTGCTAACACAGATGCACCTGAGCAAAGTTTTCCCATTGGTGCTCTCGTGTGTCAATCATTTAATCTCCCCTCCCAGCTCCTCAGGTAGGAGGGTGTCAGGGCCATTACTGAAGAAATGTTGGAACTTCACTGAGATAAATGTAAGGATCAGTCATTTCTGATTTGTATTTTTATAAACCAGTTCTTATGTGTAAAATATTTTCATAAAAGAAAGTCACAGTAAGATGTTTTTATGAGGCTTCAGAGGCTTTTTTGCATAAGTTAAAATAGAAATTTTGAGTTCTTGGCCGGGCGCGGTGGCTCAAGCCTGTAATCCCAGCACTTTGGGAGGCCGAGATGGGCGGATCACGAGGTCAGGAGATCGAGACCATCCTGGCTAACACAGTGAAACCCCGTCTCTACTAAAAAATACAAAACACTAGCCGGGTGAGGTGGCGGGCGCCTGTAGTCCCAGCTACTTGGGAGGCTGAGGCAGGAGAATGGTGTGAACCCGGGAGGGGAGCTTGCAGTGAGCTGAGATCCGGCCCTGCACTCCAGCCTGGGCGACAGAGCAAGACTCCGTCTCAAAAAAAAAAAAAAGAAAAAGAAAAAGAAATTTTGAGTTCTTGACCCAGGATCACTACATGAATTAATGCTGTTTTTTTAAATGAGGTCATCTTTATCCAAATAACTTATGATAAAAATTGATTCTGGGCTGGCCAGATGCTGTGGCTCATGCCTGTAATCCTAGCACTTTCAGATGCCTAGGTGAGCGGACTGCCGGAGCTCAGGAGTACGAGATCAGCCGGGCAACATGGAAAAACCCCATCTGTACCAAAAAATACAAGAAAAAAAAGTTGGTTCTGGGCCAAACACAGTGGCTCATGCCTATAATCCTGACACTTTGGGAGGCTAAAGCAGGTGGATCACTGGAGGCCAGGTGGATCAGTGGAGGACTGGAGACCAGCCTGGTCTACATAGTGAGACTCCATCTCTAAAAGAAGAAAAAAAATTAACCGGGTGTGGTGGTGCATGTCTGTAATCCCTCCTACTTTGAACGATGAGGCAAGAGGATCACTGAGCTCAGGAGCTGGAGGCTGCAGTGAGCTACAATAATACCACTGCACTCCAGCATGGGCAACAGAGTGAGATCTAGTATCTTAAAAAAAAAAAAAATTCATTCTAGGCATACTGTCCTCTGGTTTTCATAGTGTCCTGGGAGGGAGCTCTTATCACTTAGCACATTCTATGGAGATATCCGTTTCTCCAAGCATGATAAGATCAGGGATGAGGGGCTGTCCCTTAAGCTGGGCACAGCCAGCACCTGGCTTCCAAGAAGGATAGTGGTACACAGAGAGCCAGGGCCTAGGAGGGAGAGGACTGGACTTGAACTCACCATTCACTTGACTTATTGTTCTTAAGCAAGTTATTTAATTTCTCTGCATGACAGTTTTCTTATTTGTAAAATGGGTTAATATGAACTGCCTCATGGGGTTATTATTTTTTGAGATAGGGTCTCAGTCACCTAGGCTAGAGTACAGTGGCATGATCACAGCTCACTGCAGCCTTGACCTCCCCTGGCTCAGGGGATCCTCCCATCTCAGCCCCCTGAGTAGCTGGGACTACAAGTGAGAACCACCACACCCAGCTAATTTTTGTATTTTTTGTAGAGACAGGGTTTTGCTATGTTGCCCAGGCTGGTCTTGAACTCCTGGGCTCAAGAAATC